GCATGAACCCAAAACATTCTGTAATCTACCTCGCCGAGCTCCTCACCCACCTTGGCTGACATTGTACGAAACCACTCATTTTTAACCACATCAGGTAGGATCGAAATCTTCCCATCCGTAAAGCTGCCACACGAACTTGAAGATATAATTAGCTTCAAGATTACCTCCAAATTTATTTTGCTTCAAGAAAATTGTTGATGGAATAGATAGGATCCTCACACAGTCACATGGTCTCCCTAGAGTTTAGTTAGAGTCGAGTGAAAAAAAAAAAAAAATCTCAAGTTGTCTCCAACATGTTATTCCACATTAAATATTTTATTTTATCCTTATTATATTAAATTATTTCAATGTCAAAATTATAAAAGTAAATATATAGATATATACACATATATATTACACATATTTAGCAATATTTATATAACTATTATATATTTACTAAAACAAAGATTGTGGAAAATTTGACTTTATAATCAAAGCCGTAGAAGATAAATTTCTTCTCTCATCCAATAATCTACCACATATATTTTTATTTTTTTTATTTTTTGTTATAAATGAACTAGTTTAGTGAAGATATGTATTACTTAGTATAACACGTGTCAATACACAATTTGTGAAAAACTATGGATGACTCAATACATGATTTTTTGCTCGAAAAATAAACGAATTTGTTCGAACGTAAACGAACGCGAGCTCGAACAGCCCAAGCTCGGTTCGGTTCGATTCGTTTACACCACTAAGTCTAATACAAAGTGGAAAATTTGGTACATGTATAATATTATACTTGTCTACATGAAGGACAATAGAAATATTTGGCCTTTCCAACCCAGTGTGAAAAGAACTTCCCAAGTACTCTCTTACAATTATTAGACATCATTTTTGTCACGATTGCTGCATTAGGTACCATAATCGTCCTAGAACATACAGCATGCAGGTTTCCTAAAATTAACTTCACTGATCATTTAATTATCAGTGTGTTGACCTGTTTAGCTAAAATTATGTATACTTATTTTAGTGAGGTATGTATAGATTTTCATCCTTTGATCCTTCAACAATTTATGCGCTTAGTCGGGATCACAAACAGAGGGTTCTTCTTCCTCACTGCCAAACCCAGCCTTTCCTCCCTGTCAATGTCTTCGGGCTTGACGCCTGGCCCAAGATCCCACTCGAACGACTGAACCAGGGTTGCCATCGCGAGGTGGACCATCCGGTGGGCCAGCATGAACCCGACGCAGATCCTCCGGCCCGACCCAAACGGGATCAACTCAAAGTGCTGGCCCTTGTACTCTATGTTGGACCCGAGGAACTTCTCGGGCCTGAATTCGAGCGCGTCGGGCCAAACCTCCGGATCGCGTCCGATGGACCACACGTTGACGGTCCGATGGACCACACGTTGACGAACACCTGCGTGTCCTTGGGGATGTGGTAGCCCATGTAGTTGGTATCCTCCTGTGCATTCCTGGGGAGCAGCAGGGGCACTACAGGGTGTAGGCGGAAAGCCTCTTTAACGACCGCTTGCAGGTAAGGCATGTTCTCGATGTCCTTCTCCTCGACCCGCCGGTCCACGCCCACGACCCGGTCAAGCTCCTCCCGCACTTTCTTGAACGCGTGTGGGCTGCGAAGGAGCTCGGCGAACCCCCACTCGATGCTGATGCTCGTGGTCTCAGATCCCGCAAAGAACATTTCCTGATTTATTTCGAAGAATTTTGAACATGACCCGAAAAATTGAACTCGTCAAGAAATCGGCTCATATAACTAATGCCAAGCGACCATTTTGTTCTCAATTAGTCAACACTCACCTTGATGACGATGTTGACATTCTTTTCAGTAATACGATCAGGCCCGTCCTTCCCATCCCCCTCGTACTCGAGCAGCACGTCCAGAAAATCCTTCGTCTCCCGGGCTTTTCCCGCCTTGCGCTCGTCCAGCCTCTCCTGGATGAACCCGGACGTTATCCGCATCGCGACGCTCAGATTCCTTTTCATCTCCCGTTTCATTCCCAGTGGGTCCATCCACTTGAGCCACGGCAAGTAATCGGCTATGTTGGGGGTCCCCTCAAGCTCGATCGCCCGGCTCATGCAGTCGAAGAACTGCCTCGACCTAGGATCCTTGGCATCCAGCAGGTCCCTCGACAGCATCATGTTCCCCATCAGGTTGAACGCCATCAGGAACAGAAACCGGCTGAGCTGGACAGCCCCCGTGCCCCCACGGGCGCGGTCAGCGGCCGACTCCTCGAGGATCCACCGCTCCATGTCGTCGCGGAGGCGGTGCCGGAGGCCGGCGGTCTCGTTCACGCGCCTGCTGACGGAGAACTCCGCGGAGCAGAGGCGGCGTAGGGCCCGAACCGGCTCATGCTGAGTGTCCCGATGCTGAAGTCCAATGCGGTGTTCACGTCGGGGACCTTGCGGTCGGCGAAGGCGAGGTCGTGCTTCTTGAACAGCTCTGCAGCGGCTGTCGAGCTCTGGACGACCATTGTCCCGACGGAGCCGAGCTTGAGCCAGAGGACGGGGGCGTGAGGATCCCGCCAACGGTGCATGGACTGGTGGGGAAGGTCTCCCAGCTGGAGGAGGTTGCCGAGGATGGGGATGCCCCTGGGCCCGGGTGGTGTCTTGCCGGCCGGCTTAGGGCGGAAAAAAGGTAGGCCGAGGAGGAGGAGGAGGACTGCAAGGAGGGAGGTTGTGAGAGGGTTGAAAGAGTTCAGGGGCCAATCCATGTTTTTCATTTTCCTTTTTGGTGGTGTAAGTGTTTGATGGATGCCTATTTAATTTGGTGTTTATATGTACAGTCACAGAGAGTGTATTATGCAGAGAACCTGGGAATAAAACACACGTTTCATTTTTTTTATTTTTATTTTTGTCTCTGTTTTGTATCATGATCTGACATTTGGACGTGATTGGGAGGTCCCCATAGTGAGTATGAAGATAAGAAATTAATGGGCCTAATGGCCAAGGCCATGTACAATTTTTTTCAAACTATATGGAGTTTGTCATAATTAGACAGCACTCTAGTTTAGTTAATCAAGGACGCTTGTTTTTGGGACACCCCGCGGCCAGTCGATCAGTGGCCGACTCCTCGAGAAACTCGGTGAAGCTCCCAAATGGCTCCCAAGCCTGGGTCATGTTCAGGGTCCCGCGTGCGCGGCTCAAGTCCAAAGGATGCCCCCGGGAAAGCTTGTAGTGTGACACAACGTTTCATAATGTACTGTTAAGGGGTGACATCCTACTTTTTCAAGTTGACATCCACCATGTATATAATTCCATAATATAGTGAGTTTAAGTGGCATGCACTTACACTTCATAATTGTGGCAAAAAATCATGCATTGGAGTTAAATTTGGACATATATTAATACTAGTACAACACTCGTGTATTACACGGGTGCTTGCTAATTTTTTTCTTAAAATTTAAAATTAATGAAAAAAAGTTGCTGAAATTTTAAATATTTTTTATTAAAATATATATATTATTATATATTTAGTATGACACTTTTTATTTGTGTGACTTACTTGTGTTATATCATAATAATTTTTTTTTAACTTACAACATATAATTACATTAAACATAAATATATCAACTGAGAAATAATTTTATTTTTCTAATAAATTTTAATAAATCTTATTATTTTTTATTATTATAAAGATAAATATAATTTATTTATTTTATATATACAATATGGATGTCAGATAGAAGATCATGAGATGATTAATTTGATATATTATATATCTAAAACCGATAAGAAATACAAAAGTTATCAACTTTTAAAATACATTTATAATTCCATAGCTAATTGAAGGAAACAAATAAAAGTCAGAGATATATTAGTCACTTAGTGCCCCACTATGTAAAATTACAAAGAATTAAAGGGTTATATTAGTACAAGTGATATTAAAATACCTAAGTTAGCTAAATAATGTTTATGGAATGTCCGAACCTAGATTATTAATTATTAATATATCAATATTATTTGTCCAAACCTAATTACGAAGCATGATTCTTCGCCAAATAGGATTCCGAAGCACCAGAAGCAGCCACGTAGACTCAGCGCATTCGGAAATTATATATAGGGAATAATTTTTCTTTGTCGTCCGTTGTAAGGTCTTAAAGTCGAACAAAGCCGCACCAAGAAACATTAGTGATGTCGAATATGGAACTATTTTGGCACAAACATTGAGGACTTGCAATTGTAAAAGCTTACAATATGTAAAAAAGATTATAAGTAAATTGAATATGAATATCATAATATTGAACAAATTACTAATAACAAGGACTTTGATGGATGAATGATGGAGTGTAATTGACTGTTAGTGTTTGAGATGTGTTGGTGTAGAAATATCAAATGGCGTTCCTACTATGAATAATTGACAAAGTTAAAATAAGATAATACAATAAAATTTTAAAAATATAGGATGCAACAACTACATCTTTTATTATAACAATATAACACTAGTACAACGCTCATGTATTACACGGGTGCTTGCTAATTTTTTTCCTTAAAATCTAAAATTAATGAGAAAAAGTAGTTGAAAATTTAAATACTTTTTTTATTAAAATTATATGTTATTATACAACTTTGCTAAGAAACCAGATGGTTGGTTCCCTTATGGAACCAACCACCAATGAGACAGTGCCACATGGGGCTGTCCCACATGACTTTCATGTGGAACAACCCCATGTGGCACTGTCTTATTGGTGGTTGGTTCCATAAAGAAACCAACCATATGGTTTCATAGAAGAACTGTGTTATTATATATTTAGTATGACACTTTTTATTTGTGTGACTTACTTGTGTTATATACAATTTTTTTAATTTACAACATATAATTACATTAAACATAAATATATCAACTGAGAAATAATTTTATTTTTCTAATTAATTTCATTAAATCTTATTATCTTTTATTATTATAAAAATAAATATAATTTATTCATTTTATATATATAATATGGATGTCAAATAGAAGACCATGAAAAGATTATCAATTTGATATATTATATATGTAAAACCGATAAGAAATACAAAAGTTATCAACTTTTAAAATACATTTATAATTCAATAGCTAATTGAAGGAACAAATAAAAGTCAGGGACATATTAGTCATTTAGTGCCTCACTATGTAAAATTACAAAGACTTAAGGGTTATATTAGTACAAGTGATATTAAAATACCTAAGTTAGCTAAATTTATGGAATGTCTGAACCTAGATTATTAATTATTAATATATCAATATTATTTGTCCAAACCTAATTACGAAGCATGATTCTTCGCCAAGTAAGATTCCGAAGCACCAGAAGTAGCCACGTAGGCTCAGCGCATTCGGAAATTATATATAGGGAGATTTTTGATTTATTGTCATTCTACTATAAGAATATACATATATTTTACTTTTTTATTTTGATACAAATATTTAACTTTCAAGAGTCAATGAGTTTCACGAGATTTATTAACTGCCGAATAAATTAATTATTTTATTTTATTTTGACACACACAAACACACACATATATATATACATAATACATATAACAAATAATACTTCATACAAATATTTTCTAAAATATTTTGTGCGGGCAGGCCCTACGGTCGGCCCTTCGCCGGCCGTCCGGCTACTTTTCCCGGCAAACCTTATATGGCTGAACATAAAATGACTTAACTTGACTAAATATGCGTGAATTACTCAGGACTTGCCGGTTAGATTTTGAAATCACTCGGAGAGGGCTTATATAGCACCTCCGAGGCCATTTTCGCACAAAAATTAAACCGAACGATATGATTTTGACATGATCTTCCTAACATAAATTTAAAAACATGAAAATAGGGTAAATAAGTGTATACCCTTCAGTTTACTCGAGTCATGCACGGTGGCTTGCGCGTGCTTGCTTGGTGCGTTCGGTGTACTCAATGGTGTGTGAGTGCTTCTCCTTTGCTTCGGCTTTATTTAGCTATATTTTTCTATAATTTTTCTATGATATTTTCCACACTATTTTCTCTCAAGTGTATGCTGAAGTTGGCTTGGTTTTTGCATGAAATGCATGGCGAAAACTTACACGTTCAGTTATTTAAAGAGAAGAATAAAACGTTGGGACTTACTCGGTCAAAGGAGGATTAAAAAATAATTTTCTTTTTAATTATGTACCATTTTTTATTTCACAATAAAAATTTTATATTTTTCATCTTTTGTTGAACAATTAGATTTTTATGAAATAATATATAGTTTATGGGGGTTGTACTAGTGTAATTTAATGACAAATTTTTTGTATTTTGGGGCTAATATAAAAGTACAATCAGTATATCTGGAACAAATACGCTTGTTCGACTATTTTTATCCGTGACCCTTTCATTGGGTCACGGGAATAAGACAAAAAAAAAGAGACGGTCACCAATTGCTGCGACCCAGGTCACATTGTGACTCGGGTCGCAACCGGTCTTTGTATAAAAAGGGGACACTTGTCCCATTTTAATTGGATAAGTGTTTTTTTTTTCTAAAAAATAAAAAAAATACTAAAATTCGTATTTTTTCATTCTCTACAAATAGAGACCACATTGAATATATTTTACAGCACAATTGTAATTTTAAATAAATTAAAATAAAATAAATATTTAGGTTGAGTTGGGTTGGGGATAAAGATAAATTAGGTTGAATGATTGAATTGTTTAGGTAGAGGAGAGAGAAATAATTTTTAATTGTTAGGTTGAGTTGGGTTGGGTCGGGTTGGGTTGGGTTGAGGATAAAGATAGTCTTATAATCTATAATTAGACATTATTTGGTCAAGATTGCTCAATTAAGCAAAAAAATGGCAAACCTAGCTGTCATAATTCCAAATCTAGTAGCTTCATAAGGAGTGACGGCTAAAACACCGCCGACCTACAACATGGAGCATGATTTCCTAACCATCTACATTTCCAAAGTCGGAATTTCTTGTGCTTCATTAACTATCCATAAATTGAGAGGCCAAATTACATATGCAGACTAGTGGCATTCTCCACCCACCCAACCCTTAAAATTTTTAGAGGAAATAGTTATTTCCACTCACTATGAAGGAGAGTTAATTTTTTTTCACAATTAAAATAAAAAATTCAACTTTATCACTCCAATAAATGTGAAATAAATTATGTATAAACTCTGCGACAAAGAGGTGTAGATAATTGATAAATTGCAATATAAGTATGCAATAACGATGCGACACACAGAAGAAAATAACTGAAAGTGTGTACTTATGCGATAAACTATGTTGCAGACAACGAAGATAATCAAGAA